CTTGGGCTAGATCGAGGCGTTTCTGGTAAATGTAACCGCGTGTCAAAGTCAAGGCCGTGAGCTGGACAGATTGCTTGAAAGCCTTCAGAATGATGCAAATTCCCAGACCAGTCAATTCAGCTGGGAGGCCAATAGCTCAGCCTTACTGTTGTCCAGAAGGAAAGAAATTGACCGTCGCAAGTCTGATCTAGAGACTGTCAGTGTAAATGTTCGACTGGCTGCTGATGAGAAGACTCGACGCTTTGATCAGGCTTTACGGCTTGTCGAATGGCTTCGTAGTTTCGAGGAAGTTATCGAGTGGGCTGAAGAAGCCGAAGAGCGCTGCGCTGCGGACGATTATCATGGTGGGATGACTGTGCTGGCTCATAAATTGGCGAGACACAGGGTAGGCGTTTATGTATCAATTAAGGCTATAAGACACTGGAATGTATTCATTTCTATGAGAGCTTATTTTATAAGGAACTAGCTGACTTCTTTATCTGTCTAATTGCAGTTTGGCCTAATTCCGACCTTGACCCATGACGCATACGAGTAGAGTATTTGAGTTAGCACAAGGTATTAATTTTCTTAGGACTTAATCAACTTAACAACCTACTAGACAATGAATTGAGGATGCTGCTAGACCTGGGATCATATATATATGATGTCTATTGAGCATGATTCAGATGAGTGATTAAAACAAGAGAAAAAAACAATATATACATTTTTACATCAGTAGGATTCAAGGAGTACCTTGTGGAATGTAACTAGTCCAGTATCCTCTGCCATAGTATTTTCGATTTCCAGTATCTAACTAGTTACTTGGTAAATTCCCAAACGTTTCGCCTTCATCGTCAGTGAGAGGTGCCATTGTCAGCGCAGAGTTAGGATCTTTCAAAGTAACAAGTAAAGGTTAAAAAAAATTAGTCAAAGGGATTGTTTTCACTTGTCACTTGTAACTCTGTGCTGACAATAGCACCCCTCACTGATGATGACGGACAAACGTTTGGGAATGTACCAAGTCAATGGTCCAATACTGGAAATCACGAATACTATGACTGAGGACACAGGATTAGGTACGTTTAACAAAACCGCCATGACGCTCAGATCAAGTTGCGAAAACGAGTTAGAACCAACACTACAATATATGTAGGGCTATATGCGTCTGGCCAAGTTTCTACGTTACCCAAATTATTTAATTTTATAAATACTATAGGATAATTGTATATATTTAATCTAAGTGTCAATAATTAAGTTTTATCAGCATGTTTTTAACATGGAATTGACCGACAACCTTTATATAGACGAATATGATATATGGATTTTATGTGGGGCTACACTAAAAGCATACTAAGTTGTGCTTTAAACTTTGGTAAGAGCATTATTTCTATCTAATCTTAATAAAGATTTAAGGGACTCTAATTAGCGCACCTTATCTTTGTCGCACGATTCTTATTTATTATCTTATGCCAGCCCAACTGAGTTCTTGAGAGGTCTCTTCATTTATTTCGCAATGTA